AAAATTGAGATATAGTTTACTAAATGCATAAACATTTTATTTTGGTGATGGTATAAGTGTTAGAAATTAAGCCTTTATCAGTATCAATTCCAAACATGGAAAACAAGTAGTTTATTCTGTCTTAACAAGCACTGATTGAACCCACCATGTGGCAGGCAGGCCCTCTCCCAAAGGCTTGAGTATACTGCCTCCTCCAGTCACCTTGGCAGTACCGTGATGCAGCTGAGGCACACAACGCAGAAAGGTTAAGAACTGTTGAGGTTCTTAACACTCAATATTTGGCTGCAAGCCGACTGGCACCAGCTTCTGTGTGCCTAACCAAAGTACTCACATTAAGATGTTGATGTTCCTAATACTGTTCTTTAATTTTCTTCAGATTGCTGTAAGGTTTTTCAAACTAAGCTTTCCAGCTGCATGCAAAAGTTCTCTTAGTCTTCCCTTTAAAGAATACTCCTGAGGTCCATATGATTGCATCTATGTCAGGCTTGCATAAGTGTGTGTGTGTGTGTGTGAGAGAGAGAGAGAGAGAGAGAGAGAGAGAGAGAGAGAGAGAGAGAGAGAGAGAGAGAGAGCATATAACCCAGAAAATTGTCTGAATTTGGGGTTGCATCTTCTAGATTCAAGTTTGGAAAAGAACAGTTTTGAGCCAATTCTTACTCAAGACTTGTCTTTATAATGAAGTTTTATTAATGTACAACCCTTCTCACTTACACTTTGTGGTAGCTTTCATGCTGAAACCTCAATAGAATCAAATCATAATGACAAGTTTAAGGCTAACGAAAATGAAAATATTTACTACAGTACTGTGTGTGTGTGTGTGTGTGTGTGTGTCCCAGTTTGAGGGCTTGAACTCAAGGCCTGGGCACTGTCTTTGAGCTTTTGTGATCAAGGCTAATGCTCTACCACTTTGAACCACAGCTCCATTTCTGGCTTTTTGAAGGTTAACTGGAGGTGAATCTCAGACTTTCCTACCCAGACTGGCTTTGAATAATGATCCTCAGATCTCAGCCTCCTGAGTAACTAGGATTACAAGCCTGAGCCACCGGTGTGTCCAGCTCTTTACAAAAAAGAGTGGCTCTTCACAGGAGAAAGAAACATTGCCTATCCTCTTGTAGACTCCAGTGCTGCAATGTCCAATATGGTAGCTACAAGCCACAGGTAGCTGCACAGCCCTTGAAAGGGACTGGCATACTCTGGGATACCTAAAACACATTCCAAAGACTTAGCAATGTAAAACATCCCCATGGTTATATGCCAATTATTTGCTGAAACAATTATGTGATTAAAATTAGTTTTACTTGTTAAAATGTAACTATTTAAAATTCAAAAATGCGTCTCAAATGGGTTTCTCACATTAGATCTATGGTGACAGCTGGTGTAGAGCATGGAATTTGGAGGCTCTGTGACGTACAGAAAAGAAAGAAGGAAGTATGAGAAACAAACTCTTGTATTTGCAAATATCTACAGCAAGTAAATCTTTTAAAGTCCAACTATCCCTCCTAGGAATAATCAAACAGAATTGCTTAGAATTCCCACAGAAGTAGTCATAGGTGGGATCTCACAGAGCAGACTCTGATTGAGAATTGGAATTGGGAGGTGATCCAGGAAGCACCTGGAAGGAAGAGGAAATGGAAAGGAAGGAAGAGGAAAGAGGGTGTGTTAATGAGCCCCTTGTCACTTTGGACTCATGTGCTTTCTCCCAGTGGGGCCCTGGGAGAGATTTTTATGGACTGAGGCTCCTAGTGGTTCCAACTAGAAGAAAGTGAGTGAGCTGTGCTGTTTTTCCCACCAATTGCCAGTAGTTTCCATCTGCATAACTTGACTGTGCCTAGCACCACAGCCTGCCTGCCCTGCCAAGGTCTGGGAGCAGCTCTTAGGCAGATGGCACAGGGGTTTTCAGAAAGTGACCACCAGCCATATTGGGAATGATACCTTTCAGAGACATTGAATTGGTCTTGCTCTTAAATCAGACTATTTTAATCTCCTCACATTTATAATTTCAACAAATACCTGTGGTGTTTTTGGTGCATGTGTTCATTTTCTCATCTGGTCTTGATGATAGCATTGATGGGTGGATCATTATCCTCTCATTATGAGTGGGAAAAGTGAGCTCACGTATGTCATTTGTTCAAGAGAGTCTGCCTGGATAGTGGCAGAGGTCTCCTTTCCTCCCTCATCCATGGCCATCCCCGCCTGATTCCTTGGATTTCTATCAAGTCTAGCTTGGTAAGAAGATGTGACTCTATTGATGTTTTCAGGTGACAGTAGAATTGATAGACTTCTGTAAAGATATGAACAGGAATGTAGATACTTCTATCTACTTTAGGGCCCTAAAAATGTTCTCTCTCTGTTATGCAAAGTACCATCAAATCAAGAGATTATAGGGCCTGCAGACCACCACACAGGATGTTAGTGATAGAGTTAAATTGCAGAAAATCCCCAGAGAAGTCTCTGCAGTGGAAGCTTATGGACACATGGCTTTTTGACGACTGGATTTTGTTACCGTTCCATTACCCGTGTTCTGTTCAAAAGTGCTGTCAGCCCCTTTGGTACTACTTGAAAACAAGTCTCTCTCCTGGCTTAATTTCCCTGTATTATACTTCTGACCCAGTAATTCTTTGCGGACTTTGGTAACACTTGTACTATTTAAGTTTGAATAACCCCATAGGAATGAGATAGGTCAAAGTGTTTAAATCACAAGCTTAAGTCTACGTATTAGATGATTAAAAACAGATTTTATACATGAGGTATATTGAAGAAAGGGAGGGGGCAGCAAGCAGATGTTTGCAGAATTGAAATGTGTTGGATTGCATTTTTTGGCTCTCTTACTGACTAGCTTTAGAAAAGTCATATCTATGACAATTGAACTGTAAACAGTTACATGATCTATTTCCCTAGAATTTTCCTGCTACAAAGGGTCAGCCAAAAAAGAAAAGTAAAAGGATTCCTTAAGATTAACACACTAAAAGGAGCTGACTAATATACCTTGTAATCATCATAGCTAAATCAAGGATATGGAATAATGAAGAGCCTCAGAATTGTTCATTGGTCTCTGACTATAATGTGATTCTCAGTTGTAGTTCATGTAGTGAAAATATCTTTTGGTATTTCCATAGAGGGGAGGGAGGGTTGTTGGGAAGAGCTTTGAAAATGAGTCTTTCTGTGGAATTACTAGATGGTCTTTAAGTCAGTCCAACAGGCTCACTGTGTGACTTTGGCTTTAAATGATGAATAGTTCCACGTCTCTCTTAAAGTAGCCATATTTGAGATGTGTTGAAGATTTCAAAGACAAACATGGAAGGTTTCTTGTTGGTGTTTCAATCCAGATGACAAAAGCATAAAACGTCCCTCAGAAATGAGAACACCTGAGGTTTAGAAGAAACTAGGTTTTCAAGTGTATGGTGAAGAATGCAGAACCCAGCTTACACATGCGTGGGAAATCCCTCTGGACTAGAAATAAAAGTACGTGCTGAGTGGTGGTGGGGCGGGGGGGAGGATCTGGGCAACTCTAAGAAGTTTGGGGCGGTGCCGTGGGGAGCGGGAGCAGGAGCGGAGTGTACCCTGCTCACTAGCAGTGAGGGCAGAAGCCCTGCGCAACAGAAAGTGAACACTCCTCATGCACGCTCTTGGCTCAAAGGGCAGCTCTCACCTTCCCTGGAATTAAAGCCAGACCAGGAACGCTCGTGGAAGGAAACCGAGGCATGGAGCCAAGCCATGATCTGTGCCTCACGGCACACAGTGTCTTGTGGGAATGCCTTCTTTGGAGGAAGGAACTCAAGTCCTGACCTCAGCGCCTCAAGTCCTGACCTCAGCGCGTACTCCTCACCTGGCTGGGCTAGGTGATCCCCAAATCATAGCGTAGGGTACAGAGTTCCTATCAGATACCAGAAGAATGACTTGACACAGATGAAAGCAGATTCTCAGGAAGCGTTCAGCAAAGATCGGTACGTGGAGAACTGCCATTTTTCAAAAGCTTAAGAATGAGTCGATTGAGTTCACTTGGAATTATGGAGAATAGAACTGTATTTTTGGAACACGGTTCAAAAATAATTCAATAAGAAAAAGCAGGTGTGTCCAGGTGCCAGTGGCTCACACCTGCGACTCTAGCCACCTGCAAAGCTGTGACTCTTTATTGCATGTGTCTTCCAGTTGCCCGACCATTTCCTTGTGAACAGGGAGTAGAGATTTTTGTTCTGGCTTCCCAAGTATCTCTCTCGGAATCTGACACATAGTAAAAGCATAATAACATTCAGTTGTATGGGTGGATAAGTGAAAGAATGAGGGCTAAAAATGGGAAAGAATGGGGATATTGGAATGACAATGCAGCACACTAGACTAAAAATAGGATTAAACGTTCATTCAAGGAAATTTCAATTTGATGCCCTATAGGAATAGGAAATAAGTCTATAGTCTTACAAACCTCTGTGATATAAAACAGTGTTAAGGGAATATTATCTTGCATAGGTAGAAAAAGAACAGAATCATGTACACTGAAACAAACTGAGGAAATATATGTGACAAGGATTTCTAATAAATGTTTATGAATGGCCATGTTCTCAGCAGTAGCTAGTCAAGTCAAACTAGTTTCCAACAGATTAACCTCGGCTTAACCATAAAAATCGTAAATCCTAAAATTAAATACAGGCTAGAGATATGTTGGGATATCTTTCCTACATTATTGCCATTGAAAGAAAGATATTTCTGATTCAGTTAAAGGGATAAAAAGTTGAATCACTTTCTTCTTAATAACACATAATAATTATTCAGTTAAATGTGCATTCACACAATAAAGAGGAACAAAATGATGAAGTTTGAGTATTTCTAGAAATTTCTTTTACAGTGAGACTTTGAAGATGGCAGTTTCAGTCTATAAATACCTGAAATAGTATCAAGTTATTGACACTTCTGAAAAAAACTGCTGATTTTCCTGAGTATGAAAAATTGTGTCTATACTAGAGAAGTGTACATAATAGCATTTTCCCCCTTTTCTTTTTGAACAGCAAAACTTAGAGAGCAACCTCACCAACCTTATCAAGAGGAACACAGAGCTGGAGACCCTTTTGGCTAAACTCATTCAAACCTGTCAGCATGTGGAAGTGAGTATATCTCTAGCTGTATGTACTCCATTGCGGGATTGTAAGTGCTAGATCAGTGTTTTTATGTCCTCACCATTTCTAAGTGAGAAATTTTTTTCTTCTTAAAATTAGCTCCTCTCCAGAAGCCACGCTTGTTAAGATAGATGAAATGGAGAACTAGAACTCAGAGACTTTTCTTTCTTTCTTTCTTTCTTTCTTTCTTTCTTTCTTTCTTTCTTTCTTTCTTTCTTTCTTTCTTTCTTTCTCTCTTTCTCTCTCTCTCTCTTTCTTTCTTTCTTTCTTTCTTTCTCCTTCCATCCCTCCCCCCCCATCTTTCTCTCTTTTTTTTTTTCCATGATGGCACTGGGCCTGTGTGCTGTCCCTTAGCTTTTTCATTCAAGGCTAATGCCTACCACTTGAGCCACAGCTTGGCTTTCCTGCTTGGGGGGTGGGGGAGAAGGTTAATTAGAGATAAGAGTCTCACAGTCCTTCCTGCCTGGGCTACTTTCCAATTGTAATCCTCAGATCTCTGCCTCCTGAATACTTAGGATTACAGGCATGAGCCATCAGTGCCTAACTTCCGGTTTCTAAATATATTGCCATTCATACCATTGCAACTATTATTTTGGAAGATAAAATTCAAGCCACTACAGATCTATATCAAATGCTTCTTAGTAGTCATATATATTTCCATGAAATCAACCACCGTTACTGCACTAACAAAACCTGCAATGATTCAACACTGTGCAAGGGAAAATGTCCATTTGAACTTTATTTGAGTGCTTACAAGTTAAACTCCCCAGATATTCCCAGCTGTAGAAGCAAAATATTTTGAACATATAATTAAAATTTCTGACAAGAACTGGTTGCAAGATAGAAATTATAAGTTCTTTTATCATCTAATCAGTAATTATTAGTTTATGATTTTATGTGTACCCCTAGCAGCAGTTGATGCACAATAGAGTAAAATGAATAATAAGCGCACAATGTATTCAACAACCACACACTCAGTTGAAGAACAGTGCGGGATCTAGTCAGGTGTGACTGAAGTGGTAGAATCTATCGCATTTTTAAAAATCTGAAGTCTATGTATATTTTGGCATTGGTGGCTCAAAACTGTAATCCTAGTTACTCAGGAAGTTGAGATCTGAGGATTGTGGTTCAAAGCCAGCCTGAACAAGAGAGTCTGTGAGACTTTTTTTTTTGGGTCCGGTCGTGGGCCTGAACTCTGGGCCTGGGCGCTGTCCCTCAGCTCTTCAGCTCAAGGCTAGCGCTCTACCACTTGAGCCACAGCGCCACTTCCGGCTTTTTTCTTTTTGCTTATGTGGTGCTGAGGAATCGAACCCAGGGCCTCAGGCATGCAAGGCAAGCGCTCTACCACTGAGCCACCTTCCCAGCCCATCTGTGAGACTTTATCTCCAATTTTTTTCTAAAATGGCAGAAATGCACTAAGTGGTAGAATACCATCCTTAAGCAAAAGTTAAGGGACAGTGCCCCAGCCCTGAGTTCAAGCCCTCATACTGGCACATATTTTCACTCTGACATTGGGATACAACTTAAAAAATAATGATGAGTTTAAAGGATCAGACTTTTTTTCATTCTTGTGATGCAGAAAATAATAAGTGTGACATTTTCCCGCACCCTACGTTAGACAACCATAGACTAGTTAAATGATAAAGAAGTGAGTACAGTTTGCCTGAAACTTTATAGAGGAGCTGTGACTTCAGCCAAGCCTACAGATTTCAGAACTACTGTTTGTAAGCATACTGCAGCTATGGGATGCCATCTTATTTATTGAATACAAAGTTACTTGCCAAGGATTCATTGCTCAGCACAATAAAATTTAGCAAAGATGATTTCGGATCCTCTCAGCTTAACAAACTGGTCCACTGTGCGAATGCTAGTTCTTTAAAGTAAGGTTTAAAATAATTAATGTTCATAAAGTTGGTACTGTTCCTTATTTCTGATTGGAAATGTAAAAACTGGTTACTATGAACCCTGTCCGTTGGCAACTTTTCTAAACTCTAGATCAGTTAAGCAATGGTGTCTAAGGAGTAAAAGGAAGGTTGTTCCCCTTCCCCACCTGACCCCTCTACTTCAACTACTCGGCATTGGAGTGCCATGGAGCAGAGTATGATAAGTGGAGGAGAAAATGACATTCAAGAAAGCAAGAGAGGAAGAAGAGCAAAATGGAGCTGAGAGCAAATTAGAACTGCTATCCAGTGAGCTCATAGGTTCAAACCATAGGTCCTGTTTCTTTAAGAACTACAGGATTCTGTAGGTAGAACCATCTTTCATCATGTTGGATGCAGTTGGGAAGGCCAAAACAGCAACTACAGCAACAGTGTGCTGCAGAATTCTTTCTAACCTTGTGCTTAGACTGGATTCACTTGTGGCCATCATCTCCCCGGGGATCAGGTTAAGCCTTGTTGATTAAACAACATGAGAAACACCAGTGAACAAGCATAATGTTTTCATTATTGCAGAGTAACGTGACTATGCATTATATGAATGAGTGGATGAACAAAATAAGAAGATCCGTGTGCTGTATTTTATTTTAATGATGTGATGGCATTTGATATTTAGGATAATAAGAGAGAATTATTTCTCTTTAGTGAAAAAAAATTACCTGTGGTAAATCTTATGCTTTCTGGATTAGGTGATTATTTCATTCGATTTCAGCTGGTTACTTCTTAAAAGCATTAGTGTCTGGTTTCTATTATGGCTGGTAGTGATTTCAGAAAAATGCCTTGTTCTTAAATATAATATTAATATGACTTGTATTTACAAAATTCTAGTCATCCTAGCATAATGTAAAATTGTGATCTATCATGTTCAGTAATTTCAGATAAGAGATAAATTTTAAAAAACTGACAACGGCCAACTATTGTAAGGAATCAGTTACTGTTTTAATGGAGATGCAAGCTTTTAAAATAAAGCTATTCCTGAATCAATTGTGGCAGACTTGTAAGTAGACACATATATGCAATTAGACCTTACTATAGAAAAGAAGAAAAGAGTATTCATTTATTTTTCTATTGCTTTGTATAAACCCTTGGGAATGACAACAAATGATGGGTGAGTAAATTTGGAGTGTCATGAATTTATTCATGGTAAATAAAATAGAAAATTTTAAAAATCAATTAAAATTAAAGAAAAATAAAGAATTAAAATTAAATTGATTAGAGAAATAAAGATCATAGCAGTACCTGTTTTGATATTTATCCTCTTATTCCTAATTATTAGTATTCTTGAGGAAGTGTGTGTGTATGTGTGTGTGTGTGTGTGTGTGTGTGTGTGTGTGTGTGTTTGTGTGTGTATGCACACATGCATGTGCCTGCCAGAACTGGGGCCTGGAACTCAGGGCCACACACTCTTGTTTGTTTGTTTGTTTTTGTGCAAGTTTGGCACAACTACCTTTTGAGCCACACCCTTGCTTCCAGCTTTTTGCTGGTCAACTCAAGATAAGAGTCCCTTAGACTTACTGCCAGTGCAGACTTTGAACCTCGATCCTTAGATCTCAGCCTCCAGAGTAGAAAATTTGTTCTGGAGACTATTGATCTTGAGCCATGTTTTGCTAACCAGATATTTCTGGGTGCAAGTGTTAAGCTTTGCATAGTGAGATATTTGCATTTATTAAAGGGTTGTATTAAAGGGTCGCCCTTAGTATGAATGGACTGTGAACCTTTCTCCCAGGGGGCTTGCTATCTTCACTAAGACAAAAGATCACCTACAACTCAATTTTCAAAACAATATACAAAGTGTAATTTCCATGGGAGGAAATTTCAGAGAAGTGAGAAATTACTCTCGCCGACCGGGTCGGGAAGGAGGCACGTGATCGAAGCCTGCCTCCAAGTGGGAGCTGTGGGCACCGTTTGGATAAACGGAGGAAGAGGAAAGACACTGTTTCCAGGGCTAACAGGGCATTGGGATGAGAATGGAGGAGTGCACGCACTCACTCAGTGAGCACTTCATTCTGAACATACGCAAAGTGAGTGGGAAGGATAGGTAAGTCTTTCATGTTGCATCGGGGTTCAAACTTTCCTCCTGAGGGTTCATGGACGGCTATCTGAGCATGTAATTCTGGATATGCTTCACAGTTAAGCCAAGAATCTGTAACTCTTTTCAAGAAACGATTTTTGTAGTTTTTAGGAAAATAAGATGTATATCTTCAGGCAAACAATTACTCATCCAAGGCCCAACTAAAAGCTCGAGGAAAACTCCAAAGAAGTAGTGTGATGTGTTAGGCACTAGGCATGTTATTTTTTTAAATCAGTGCAGTAGGAAAGTATTTCCTGATTGGCATCCTAGGTTCCTAGACTCTACTTCCTTTTCCTCTTCCTGATGGTGTCCTTGTATTTGAAACTGAGCACTCCTCAGGGAAAAGAATCCCCTGGCTCGGTGGAGTGAAAACAAAACAAATAAAAATTTAAAAAAAACACCACACAGCACCGAGGCAACTCCTAATTGTTGTAAATTAAGTCAATGAATTCCTTCCCACGACTCAGAAGAAAATGCCACTTCCTTACAAGTCCACCCCTCCTCCTGGGGTTTCATTTCTGCTTTTCTTTAAAAGTGAAAGCATTTGAAGGTCTTCCCTCCCCCTCATTGTTTTCATCGCTTGTTTTATAAATGAGAGTTAGCAAATGAAATAGACTTTTGATTACATAAGTACCAAATCTTTTAAAAATGAGAAAAGAGAGTAGGAAAATCAAGATTGTTCTCCACTCAGGACAGATGCTTTATAAGAGCAATACTGGGAAGACTCCCAGGAAATGTTTGTGTAACTTGATGGTTGGGATTCTAGAAACTTAGTGGGTTATCACAACTCTCTTTTGTTTACTTCCAGAGAGGAGTTCAGTAAAATGTTCCCTTGAGTGAGTTTAGAGTTAATGTTATTGGGAATAGAAGACAAGCTCATGAAAAGTAATCAAAATGTAGATCAGGAACAAAACTTGGTTGGGCTCACCTGTAATTCCAGCACCCAGGAAGCTGAGGCCAAGGGATTCAGAGTGCAAGGC